TAAGGAGCGTCCGTTCGGCTTCCACATCAACGGTAATCAATGGAATCTCCTCAAACCGTTGTGCGATGTTACATGGAAGGTTTGCCTTCTTATCCGCGGAAGATAATGTTAGCCGGTAAAGCGTTCGATAACGGCAATACCACGAGGGCAGGTGGCTAAACTTTACGAGGGTCTTTGCCACGGTTCGCTATCTTCCTCCTTTTTCATCCAGGTTTGGGACCAGCAATGGCGGAATTTGCTGTAAATAATGCATGAAAAAAATAGTTGAATTTATTATTAGTTAATGTTGCAAATTTTAAATTTTTGTGCAGTTCAACTAGATGTACTAGCGTTTTAATGAGAAAAAGCAGGAAGCAGATTATTAGCAGCGAGCTGCGTGAGAGACCTGAATAATTCATAAACAGTCATTTGTAAGTTAGTACGACAGAACCAATCACAAATGTGCTGATCAAAGATGTAAGGTCCAATGGTCACGAAAACTGAATTGTTTTTTATGTGAAGATTAAAAAAATCTGCCTACTGATTAGTCTACATAAAGGCAATAATATACCAAAGAAGCTAACATCATGAATACTTCATACGTTCATTTTTGGTACTACATTTGTATTTGCACGAATATATTTGGTATTTCGTACAGTGGGTCTACGCAGTATGTTTTACTTCTTCGCGTAACAGTCAATTTGCACTCTACGATCAAAACACGTTGAATTGAGGTACGATTGTTGTCTTACAGGTTACCAACGTGAAACCAAAAGTCTGTACCAAAGTGCCAAAAACAGAGCATGAACGAGCAGCGAGTAACAAGAATTAAATTACGTAAATACACAAGAAACTTCACATAATGATATCTCACAATGACATATTTTCTGGCTAAATTATTCCATTCATTTGTACAGTATGAATCAAACTCATTAAAACAATGGCGAGTTACTTCAGCAAACTTATTGGTAGGTATTAATTCTATTGCTTACATTTTCGTAACCAGTTTCATGGCATTACCTTCTCCGCAATTAACTGATGATCCCAGACCTTTGTTCCTTAATGATCAATTCATCTGTTTCTAAGGAAAAATGAAACGATGGTGGCCACTCCGTTGGTCATGAATCTTTCTCATAGGAAGACTGGTTTCAAAGACAGGATGAAATCTGTCAGAGCTTGTTTATCATTTTTAGCATTGTCGGTTCTTTAGAGTATCAAATTGAATTTAATGGAAAATCAAATATATTACGGCGACTGTAAAAGTTAGGGAAAGCATTTTTCACTGTGTATTTAGTTGTCGAACATTTCCTATGACATGAATATGAAGCATGAACATGTTTATGCATCCAACCTCATGGATGCATAAGAAAATTAATTACCCATAGTAATAAATGAATGTAATATAGGTATTTATAGCAATTTTAATGTCAGTGGCTTCGGAAATGAAAACTGAATAGTTTATATGGTCATTCTAGCTTTATAGTATGAGTAATATGTTCATTGTTGCTATTCTTATCTACAAAAATACAAAAATAACGTCTGAAAATCAGGTTTGCGGGTTCAACGTTTCTCAGTTATGCGCTTGGCCTTAAACGATTGCTTGCCTCTACTGAATTCTTAAATTCGTTCAGTTTTAAGCTTTACTTTTCAGGTAGCATCTTTATTGGCTGTATCAAAGAAATAACGATTAATAACCAAATGCTCGATTTTTCGACTCTGCTGATAGAAGACCTAGCGGGTGGTGAACTTTCATTTGGAAAATGTGACCTTATTGACACGTAAGATTGATCTATATTTTTTAAAGTATGAAACGTCTTAAAGACCGCAGAGCTTACTAACAGTGTGTACTGATTATATTACTGCCTACCCTGTCCGACTACAGTAGTCAAGGTTACAAAAGAGCAAACTGAAATAGGATCTCCAACAAGCGGGGG